GGATCATGGCTCTACTCTCAAATACGCTTTTCCGATAGGATTTCGGCGAAACTGTATCCGCCGTACACTCAGCTGGCGTTTGCCATGTCACATGGTTTTTATGTATGCATAGCAAGATTTTATCGTAAACAGGGCGACGGTGAGACGATCACGAACAGCGGGGAATTTAATTAAAGGGATTTTTTCCTAGTCATGCTCTCTACTCGAGAATATCGCGAGCCCGGCATTCTATAAACACCTCTGACAACGTTCTTTTGATACCTCATCTCACCTACGTCATCTTCGTGAAGCTTCGTGTGCCTGGCGGTTTTATAGAAAATAATTATCTTGTCGACCGGCTTGTGTCACATAAGAGAGAAAGACAGGCGGAGAGATAACACCTCGCGCGACTATTGTAGAAGTTCTTTATTGTTCGAAGAGAATTAAGAAAATTAATTTATAAATTAATTCTGTCCCCAGACGAGAGATGAATGGAGACCTTTTAGAAGGCATTCGAAAAGCATCTAGAAAGCGTCTGAAAAATTCAGACGTCTTCTTAAGCAACTTCTTGCCACGACAATGGCATCGAACGCACATTTCCAGAGAGTAAAACTCCGCCGAGGATCACCACGCGTTTCTTCGGCAGCTTCATTAGCCGAAATCACTTTGAAAAATTAAGAAGTCTCATTTGCAAGTCACCCACGTGACTGAGACGCTTGCCTCGTTTCAGTCTCGAACGAGTTCTCGTCGGATGCCGCCGTTGTCGTTCGCGAAACTTGGCGTTCTGACGCCGAAGACTGCATCTTAAGGAGGCGAGCTTTCTCGTTACGAACGACGCGCCAGGTACTTGGCGAGCCGGGCATTTTTTCGCGCCCGGTTTCGACCGAAGTTCATACATCACGCGACTAGCGGGCGCACATTATAGGACACGTGGGAAAAAGCCGTAAAGTCTTACCGCGAGGGTCTCTCATAGGGCTTATCCCACCTCCGCGAGGAAGCATCTCTCTTCGGAGCAAGTCGAGGGGGGCGAGGTTCGGGAGGTGGATGGGTGGAGAGGATCTTAAGCCGGAAAGTTTATCCGACCAAGTAGGTACACCCGCATGGCGGTGTACGCCCTCATCTAAAATATACAGGATCCTAAATCGCGGTATTACCAAAGCAATTCCCAAACGTGAAATATCGCGCCGAATTCCGCAGTTTCTGCCGGCAGCGGTAGCTGGCTCGGCGTTCGTACGCCGGCGCGCACAATCGCCCCGGGAATTGTTGCTGTAAATTATAAATCGGCATTCGTCTTTCACTCACTCACTCCTCTCTCTCTCTCTCTCTCTCTCTCTCTTTCTCTCTCTATCTATCTATTTATCTTTCCCGAAGTCGAACGTGTTTCATTAACCTGTAATCTGTAACCTATTACAGCTCGCACTCTTACAGAAGCCGGCACGACTCAACACGGCTCGGATTCAACAAATAATCACTTGCGCGCCCGGCTGAAAAAGTTCAGCCTGAAGTAGTGGAAGTCGTTAACACTCATCGGTGATAACGTCGCGTCACTACCGACAATGTAGCTCCGACAACGTTTCATCGATCATAATCGCGAGGGAACGGCGCGCGACACGCTAAAAGAGTAATATCGAATCAATGCGATGATGGATAGTCAAAAAGTCAAATATGTGCTCGCTCGGATGGGATTGTTAGAGCGAAGCGGGAACGCTTGAGAAAGCGCGATGCACACAGGACTTTCAATAGACATCGACACTCCCGCGATACACGAGTTTTTTGCGCGCGAGCAGATTTGTTGAATCATTTCGTCGGCGCGGAAGTCGACGAGAGAGTTCGCGGCGGAGAGGGGCTACAAAGTGAATTTAGCACGATGGCTGAGTTTCCGCGCCCAGACCGAGCGATGAACTTCAGTTTTCCGCAACCAAGATAAGTGAACGCAACAACTCGCAATTGGTTGCAAGATATTGTCTTTTGTAGTCCCAAACGGAAACTTTTATCGGAAGAGTATTCTTCCTCAAGTGAAAAGTGAATTTATCAATCGGCAATCTACTAGACATTATCCTGTTTGCCTGTTGGATAAAGAGAAATATCTTTACTTGAAGCAGAATGACTTCGCAGGCGCGATACGAGACAACAAGCAAAACTTGTAAATAGAAAATGAAAATTCTTTATCTTTAAGAATACTGTGCTTAGCCTGTGAGAGAAGAGATATCTAAAAAATGAAAAAAAAAGCGTTTGTTCGATGAGTACTAGTGGCATATTTACTTAAATCTACATTTCGTTAGTTATATATAAGTAAAATAAACATCCATGAGAAGCTAAATTTTCAAGAAAACGTGTTTTCTTATTTGAAAAATATTTTTCATATTAATGTAAGTTAAGTATGTTGCTGGTATCTATTGAATGAGTGTTTCTTTGTTTCTTGGGTACTTCTTCTCTCAGTGAAGATTTTCCTTTTGATTTTGAAAGGGTCCTGTTAAGACTTATGTAAGAGTAAAATCTTCTAGGATTATATTTTTCTGAGTACACCATTCCCCTTTTCCTCATTTCACCCTCCGCCAAACCGCCAACCTGCCAAGAAGGCACTAAACAGTTTTCACCGCGAAATCGATGCGACGCGTCGCGTGTCATTATCATCCCCGATTGTTCACGGTGGATAATCGCGAATTATTAAAAAGACGTCGTCATCTAGTCAGCGACAGTGAGTGCGAAGGCAACTGGGATGATTAAGAGATTCTTGCTGCCAGTCGCGAGCACACACAGCTGACATGCCGAGACACTCGAGTGTTTCGCGGCTGGTTATCTACGAATTGAACTGCTCTCGGTGTTGCTGTTTGTACAATTAGACGCTCGTCCCGAGACGACGCACCCGAGCGAAACGACTCGCGTCACAATCTTGCCCGATGGTCCTTCAATCAGCAAACTATCTCAAACTCGTCTCCCGCGAGCCAGAATTGTCGTCCGCCATGCGCGAGAACACCGCCGCAAACTAATAATAGAGAAGATAATGAAAACCAGTATTCGCATGAGCGAGCGTTTAATGCTGCATTCGACCGACAAATTACCAGTTTTACAGTCGCGGTTAACCGAGCGTGGAAATTTGTCGGTGAAGGAAAGAAGGAGGGGGAAGAAAGAGGGCTTTAAATGGGTTGAATTTACTCGAATCCTAGTCGAAAATTGATAGCACCTCGCAATACAATTAAAGATAGCAATTAACGATTCGGGCCGGTTAAATCAACCGCGCGCGTTGCCTGTGCAACGCAAGTTTAGCACAATTTTGTGTCAAGGAACGCGGGTATCTTCTTGAAACACCCGTATCTCGGTGCACTGCCGACCATACTGCGGGAGATGCGGGGAGATTCACAATGATACAGGATATCGGCTTATACAGGCGTACGTGTCGTCGCAGCGATTTTCGAGTTCCGTATTCGAAATGCCGGCGGCGCCGAGTGCGCCAGCAAAGTGCTGGCGAAGATTTACGAGTTTCGCAAACATGGCGGCGCCGAAGATTTACGAGTTTCGCAAATAAGTATCCGCGCTGTTGCTGAGAATGAAGAGAGTTAACGGTGAGAAACTTTGGCGTCGTTTCGCGTCCCTTTTTTTCGGTTCTTCCTCTTTCTCCCCACTGTTGCGGCGGATGCACGATATTACTGAAGAGAGAGAATCTCTCTCGCTGGAAATATGGCGCGTGACGTGAGCTCACGTCAGGTTTTTAATTCTCTCGGCTACGACGGCGCTGCGAGACGGCGAACACGTCGGGCGAATTCATTTCGAACGAATTGCCGACCCGCGTCGCTCCTGTGACTTGCTTGTTTACAACGTGCGCCGCACGCACAGTCGCATCGTTGCACCGTAGTAACGAGGAATCGTCTCGTAATCGATACGCCAAAGATAATATTTTTATCCACGAGAAAATTACCCCGTGGTAGAGCTGTTGATCAAACTGCGCCATGATATTTCAAAATTAATTATACGATCGTAATCAGCTGAGCTTTGCTGTTTACGATTCGTTCGGGACGCAATTTCGACACGCATAAATTAACCCCGGCGCATTTGTACGTAGGCGAGTACATTTAGCGGCGTTAGTCACACGTAACGGTGCGTATGATTGCGGACCGCGAAGGGCGCGGTGGCAGGCGTACGTAGCATCACGAATCGAAGTCTGCTCTCGTGTGATCGCGATTATTTCTCCAATTGGTCAATTAGCATTGGTCCGGAAGGCAGAGGGGAAGGGCGGAAGAGCCGGGTATCGAATTTTACGGGTAAACGCCCTTCGCGATGGGTCAGAAACTGCGAGGACGACTAATTTATTATTTCACTCGTGTTATCCGGTCGCCCTTTACACGTGCAAACGGTCACCGGAATAACGTCCGCTAACTTTCGGCAGTTTCGTATAATTTCACGCGGACGGAGTTGAATTTTGTTCTCCCGCTCGCCCCTCCCTCGCCGCCGTTCCACCTTGAAAACTTTCGCTGAAGTAATTCGACTTTCCGCGCGGTGGCCCCGCCAGGATTTAATTTCCCCGTCCGGGGTATTAAACATTTCTATCGGGAGTCGAACTTTTTCGTTCGAGCCGCGAGCGAGAAGTGATTGTTGGCGGATTAATGGGATGCTCGCGAGACAATAGCCGGCCGTGGAACGAGTATGTATTTAGCTCGAGAGCCCTTATTACCCGCCTTTGTAGATCCGCGAGCCCTGCGCAAGTAGTACGAGTGTCTTTTCGAAGCGACTCGTAAGGAGTTCACGCACTTATCAACTTCGTGCCTCCTCGACAAGGACGTTCCTCCGTCGCGAACTCGCCCCAAGAAAATGTTCCAACGTTTATCCCGTGCGCAGAGTACAACCAGCACGTAATTATTGATCCTCCTTCGTCACTCTGAAAAAAGTCTGGCTTCTCCTGCGACCAGTGGCGCACCGTTGTTCACAGACTCACGCGTGAAAGCTTTTCTTTTGGTATTGTTGAGTGCAGGCAAAAAATTCAACTGTAATACTGGTCGCATAAAAAAACCAAATTTTTTCTTTAGGTTTCCAGAGTGTCAGTGACTAAGAGGATGTCAAGAGTTGGGTGCTTTTACCCCAGCGGGGATCGTACACGTAAAAGACTGTGCGGAGAATGATTTCTCTTCTTATTTACTCACTTGGGTAAGTAATTAGAAATGTTTATCTGTTTATTATGTAATGTTATCGCGTAATTTGTGTAACTTTTACCACCACGTCCGACAAGGTAGACGGAACTCGTCCAAGTGCGGCGCAATTCGCGCGAGGTCTGTCTTGATGAATTCTCCGCGCATTGCTGCTGAAAAGCTGCAGGTGAAATCGACACGATATGGCAACGCGTCAATGCCCGAACAATCGCGCAGCAATGCCACTGAATGTAACACAATTTGCGTGCGGTCACGGGTATGTAGTTTCGAGCTGAATATTATAAGCTCTCTCGCAGAAATGCTGGGGGCCCGCGCGCGGTTCTTGGCAAACGAAATAATCGAACGGCAAATAATTAATATTTAACTGCATTATCCTCCCCGAAACTGACGCGGGCCGCGCAGTTGAGATCCGCCACGGATGTGCAATGAGCGCTCGCTGTCGCAATTAATCAATCGCAATTAATCAATCGCCACTTCTCACGCGGGCGGCGGATAATAACGATATTCGACGCGGCCCGGTTGCCTTCATCACGGCCAATTACAACTGCAATTAACTGCTTCGCATTATATTACAGCCCTTCACGAGCAGTCGCGTTACCGAATCTTCAAATGGCAACCACTTCGAGATAATTCCCGGAATTTCCGCGGGCAATTTCAGCGGGCGGCCTCGGCAGCCTCGTAATTAGTTCCTTGTTGCTAACGGAATTTTAATCGATTTTCTCAAAGCACCGCCGCGTAACTTTGATATATTAATTGCTATTTAAAAGCCAATTCCATCGTGACGCGCTCACACTGTCGCGTCTCGCCGCGCCGCGACGCGTCGCATCGCATCGCATCGTCTCGCGTCGCAATGCGCCGCGCGCGTTTGTGTGCTTCGAGTGAGATTAAAACTCCCGGGAAGCCAGAATTTTTCTTCCACGGGTGCGACTCGTTACGCGTTACTTATAAACGCGGCGCGTTAATGCACTTGACATACCCGACAAGTTTTACACTGCCGAAATGCGACAGCAGTAGTCGTCGGTGCCCCAACGGAGGTGGAAATGCACTACCGAAAAATTAAACTTTCCAAATTTGAAATGGAGTAATACGCTCCAAACAGTCGTAATCCCGAAACTCGAATATCGAGTCAATTTTCCGAGAAACAATTCTCCCGAAATATTGAAAGAGCATGCAATGTCCCGAAAAAAATCTATAAATCTAATATTTGTGTATAAGGTATGCAATGTCCCGTAAAACGATAATCCCGAAATTCAAATATCGAGATTTGTATAACAATTCTTCCCAAGTTTCGCGAAGTATACAATGTCCAAAAATGTGAAACGTTTAGATACATCCAAACTAATATTTAACAAACTTAAAGCTAGAGAAGAGCTACCGCCGTTTCGACATATTAATTTTAACCGAAAACTTGTGGGCTTTTGCGCTGTGGTTTCTGCCAAGAGCATTTTTGGAGACTGCAACGAGTAATCACGAAGCCACAAGAAGTACTTGCTAATTTTAAATTAAACTGTACATTATACTGCTCATGGAAAATAAAATAATTCGGAAAAAAGCGGAAGATGATATTGCATGTATAATTATCACTTTGCATTTGTCGCACGCCCTTCCTCGGTCGATCGATCGCGCCGCCGTTCTCGGAAACGCGTTGAATGAGTCCTTTTAACGAGAATCCGTTTTTCTTTATCTCTATGTTTTTGCGGGTCCAAAGTCCTCCACAAACTCCATTCTAAAACCAACTAAGACCAAGCAAATTTTTCGATAGATTCAGGTCGACTCGCGATGCGAACTTTCCCATCGACGAGTTGGAACGATTCGAGTCGCTCTGTTTTCCTCGCCGGAGACGGTCGCGCCAGTCCGTCGTTACGATGTTTCTCAGGGTGGTCGATGTCAAACCAAATGTATTTAAGGTAGTGCGCTCGAAATTCAGATCAGTGCGTGGCTGGGCACACCGAACGCGAAACTACACGAATTGATCCTATCGATTTTCTCTGTGGCCACTCTCCTCGAGAAATTTCCAGCGAGCAAAACTTTCGGCTCCCTCGTGCTTACGTCGGAACGTGAAGAGGATGCAGTTGGTATTACACATCGATAGTGTGGCGAAGAAATTATTGAATATTCGTAAGGGGCTGGCTTAAACAATGGCACTTCTAATAAAACAATAGTATATATTTTTGCCTCGCTGCGTAGTCACACATGTCCTTTTTTCGCACGCTTTCGTTCGCTCTACCGTTACGGAAAAATACTATAGGAATACGAAAAATTACTGGCATGCTATTGAAGAACTACAATTTTTCAATAGTGTCAATAGTTTATAAATTCATGTCAATAGTTTTTTCGTATTCTTGTAGGTTTTTTCCATAAGGTCCCCTACCGGTGCGTCTCTCCACCGCTCGCTTACTACACGAGTTAAAACTGCGCGAAACTTAAATTCCCTTACAGTAGCAAGTAATTGAGTGAGACAGTTGATATTTTTAAATAAACCAATGGCACAATAGTGTCTGATTCATCTAGTGAAACTCGACTTTTATGAAGTCGATCAGTTAATTCAGAGAGATCAGAATCCCGGCTAGAAATATATCCCGTGGTCCTAATTTAATTGTGTTCCTAAGTAAATGTTGTTAGCTTCTGATAAGTCATATAACGCAGCATGTCAATCAGGATCTCATTAATAAAAGGTATTATTAATAATTAAGACGTGATAATCTCACCTTATACAAATCAGATAACTGGTTCAAATCTGATCAGAACCATGAGAGAAATTTCTAGCCGGTGTTACACGAAAAGCAAGACGTACTGGTAATTTTGTAGAGCTTTCTGCTTTATGCACTAATCTCAATAAGAAAATTAATACAATAATTAAAATATATCTTAACTGAAAATTATAATATAATTTAATGTATGACAATTTTATTATAAGACGATAAAATTAATATGACAATTATATTTTAATAGAATATGTAATAATATGATACAAGAATAATTTAAATCGCTTGTCATAATGTTGAAATTGCAGCACAGCAGTCGTTTTCGACTGGACCTTTTCCACGCAGTTGGTATTTTCTACTGACGCGCGTTTTTAGGATCCGTAATTCGTTTAATATGACGTCGCGAGTAAGAACGTAACGAGGTGTTACCAGAACAACGCGTATCGTACTCCCTCTCTCGCTCTCTTCTCGAGCTTCCCTTAATTACAAGTTAAACAGTCGCGACTTTAAGTCCCCGCGCGCGATTAGAGCTTCCATTCCGCATCCTGACAGTTTGCATAATGGAATTACACGACATCTCACGGCCGTGACACTGTCTATAAGATGAGTTGAGGTTTACCTTAGTGGCGTGACACGTACTTCGTGGCTAGTTAGGCAATGAAGGAACTCTTTAAATACGGGCAGAAGAAGCATTTTATTTCGGGCTCTAGAAACTTTGCGCGCGCCGTTCGCGAACTTGAAGCTGTTCAGCGTTGCAGCTGACAAAAATATAAAAGCTCTCGTCCCGGAGGCGATTCCCCGACGCGTTGTATCTTTTCCACGTTGCAGAAACTCTACACGTCGCATCCATGTGGAAAAAATTCTTACCTCGAGAGAAATTCTAGCCCCTTCTCGAGTAATAAACTCACGTAACAAGAAAGTAATTCCTAGAGATAATTAGTTCATGTGAATGTTATGTGAGAGTTTAAATTTCGTCTGCATCATACTGCAGAGAAATGCGAGGGGCGCAGGCACCAAATCGCTCTGGCGACTCATTGATGCCACGTCAAACCGCATTGTTAGATATACGATTAAGCAATAGAAAAAATATGAAACCACGAGATGGATAAGAATGTGCATTTTCGCGTATCTGCGAGGAGTGACGAGGCAGCTATTTTCGCAAAGATACACGAAGATATATTTCGAGTTGGATTCGCGATCGAAATGACGGCACGTCGCGTGCCAAGAGACAGCTAACGTCGCGACCGCAACGATGCTTTTCTCCTCGCTATTAGCCCAACTCTCTCTTTTTTCAAAGACTAACCGGAGATCCCACGTAATGCTGTGGAATAACTCGCCGCATCCCTCTACTTCCTCCCTCGTTCCCGTCTTCACATACTACCGCAACCAACTTGCTCGTCGCGGTCGTACATTACTGCCCTTCGCTAATTGTCTTGAGTTCAGCTGCAATTAAGCGCCAGTTTAGCGCGGCGCTGAATAGCGGGAATTGCGAGTGCGAGCAGTTTCGCGGTTTCTTTTTACACGGCGACGCGTGGAAATCGGTTAGACCAAAATGTCAACGAGTCCCTACACCGCTCAAGCTCGGCTGTGTATATTCTTTAAAACGCGATAGTGTATAATTTTTAAATTATACACTAATTTAATTTTCATAAAGTAATATAGCAAGTAGGCGTGCATGATAGAGAGAAGGAGAAGGAAATTCGATTCAATACATATTTAACGTGGTTAATCGATTACCCAAAATTCGTTTTAAATAATAAGAGTAAAGCTGAAGCTTGTGTGTTAATAGGAAAATCAAAGAAAAACTAACACAAGACGAACGTAAAAGTTGATAGAAATTAATCTAATTAATTTAGATTGACGAATTAGAAAACGAGTTGACTTTTTTTGCAGGGTTTGCAGGAATTACGAATCACGCGAATGTATGTGCACAAACTTTAAATATTTTTTCTAAATATTATCCTTCCGATTGATATTGCGAATCGGCCAGGAATCTCTGCCAACGTTATTGGACCTACATATATTCTTACTTGCGTTAACGCATTAACGGCACGGTTCACGCGGAATTCCAATAAATTTATTTGCTGTCGAGTGAATTTTCCTGGATCCGATCTAATCGAATTGAAATATCGACGATGTAACGATGTAACACACAGTCGGCCGCCCGACCGACCGACCGACAGATCGAACGAACGAAAGAACGAACGAACGAACGAACGAACGAACGAACGAACGAACGAACGAGCGAGCGAGCGAACGAACGAGCGAGCGAACGAACGAGCGAGCGAACGAACGAACGACGCCGTGCTTCGTAGTTCAGGATTGAAAGCTCTCGCGACTTTTCCCGATAGATAACGCGCGTCGACGACCGCTTGGCAGAAACTTGGTGAAATTTTCAGCGCGGTGTCGCCCGATCAATCGGGGTACGATATTCAATTTCCGCGCGCGCGCGCGAGTATCTGACGCGATATTTGCAAGCAATGCGCTGCGGGTGGGACTCCCTTTTCAGGTTCGACGATCTGGTTCCATCTGATACTCGTGAATACTTTCGGAAGGCCATGGCGGTGGACCGTACGTGCGAGAATAAAAAAGAGCGAGGCACCGTCGAGGCCGGGTATCGACATGTCGTTATTGTTGTACAATTGCAGTTTACAGGAGTGCGCGAATACCAAAGTGACTATCGACACTACATCGGTTACCCCGCTGCCATCGCGGCGCACACAAACAATTGGCTGGATCGCACTCGGTTCGAGGGAGAAACCGAAGTCCCGAGTGGCCAGTAACCGGAAACAATATGGCTAATTGTACCGTGTTACATCCGTATAAATGCGCGTGTACGAAAAACGGCTGTCGTTCTACTTCACGGGCTGGCGAAGTGACGTAAATTCGTCGCGTCGGGTAATCTCGTGAAAATTCAATCCGCCTCTGCGTGGACGTACGTACGTGAACGCTTGTTCGCGTCTGTCATTTGTATCGCTTCTTGTCTCTATTATATTTATGTTCATCGTATTTACGTTTATCATTGCAAAACTGCCCGCCGCGCATATCCCTGTCCACCGCAAATCTAAGTGTGTTATTTCGGCTGAATCTCTTTCTGTATGTTCAATCTCTTTCTGTCACGTCATTTAGCACGTTCAAACGTATATTGTAATTCGCACATCTCTTAAACGTGTTAAGTGATGCGACTTAAAACCGCACAAAATGTGCGGGAAGAGCCACAGCCAAATTACACGCTGGTGCGTCTGAAAATAATATGCTTGGATTTGCTGTTGCCTTCTAATTGTTTCAGCCAGCACGGAGATGCGATACGACTTGCCACATCGCCGCTATCTCCCACGGTTGAGAGATAACGAGCCGCGAAATTTACTTTTCTCGTATTGGCAGATTGGCTCGTGTCTTACGTTTCCTCGGTTTAAAAATATCGCGAATGTCTACTCTACTGATCGATGGAAACGGAGGCTAACATCAATGCTATATTCTGAGGCAGCGCTGAATCATTCGTTATCCGTCCGGACGAAATAGTTTCCCGTAACATATCCCGAATACTATGTTAAAATATTTCGCGTTTTGGCCACTAACATTTCGTCGGGCGGATGATTTCGAAATTCGCGACATAGACACCGATTCGCCAGAATACAATCAGTACATTCTTCACTGAAATGTACTTACAATTCACGGTTTAGTTGTAAGCACTGCAATCGGCAAAATTTTGCTGAAAGAATCCGTCAATATTAAAAATTATTCCCATTGCACTTTACAAATATGTCGTCGCATGCAAAACGCATGGAAGCCATTAATCCCATTGTCATAAATGTAGAAAGTTGGATTTTGCAATGTATAACGTATAATTGCGTCTACACGAAGAAAACATTGCAATAAAAATTGCAACATAAGTTTTGCATTCTCGTGTCATGCAGAATTACAATCAAAATTATTATGAATTTGTTTTAAAATGTTTTGCATGTTTAATTTTTTGCTAAAAATTATCGTCATTACTTGGGTGTCTTTTGCATTGCATAACGTATAATTGTGTACTCTACACAAAGAAAATATTGCAATAAAAATTACAATATAAGTTTTGTATCCTCGTGTTATGTAGAATTACAATCGAAATTATTATGAACTTGTTTGAAAATGTTTTGCATGTTTGATCTTTCGCTAAAAATTGTCGTTACTTGAGTATCTTTTATATCATATAATCGACAGATCATTAAATTTCTATTTTTATAGTAACTTATTCTGCAATTTCGTCACAATTTAGCTTCAAAAAAAGAAATATAATTTCAAAGTAATTTTTACTTCTAATATTTATCCCCACGTATAGATTTTGCAGCGAAATCTTGTTTCCACCGGTCCAAATCAGTGAGATTGCACTTTACAAATATATCGTCGCATGCAAAACGCATGAAAGCCATTAATCCCATCGTCATAAATGCAGAAAGTTGGATTTTACATTGCATAACGTATAATTGTGTACTTTACACAAAGAAAATATTGCAATAAAAATTACAATATAAGTTTTATATCCTCGTGTTATGTAGAATTACAATCGAAATTATTATGAATTTGTTTGAAAATGTTTTGCATGTTTGATCTTTCGCTAAAAATTGTCGTTACTTGGGTATCTTTTATATCATATAATCGACAGATCATTAAATTTCTATTTTTATAGTAACTTATTCTGCAATTTCGTCACAGTTTAGCTTCATAAAAAGAAATATAATTTCAAAGTAATTTTTACTTCTAATATTTATCTCCACGTACAGATTTTGCAGCTAAATCTTACTTCCACCGGTCCAAATCAGTGAGATGCAAGACAGAGCAGTAAAGTGGGACTGTTTCCACTGGAAATCAGTGAATGCTCACTGATTGTCGGTGAAATAGTCCTTTCACTGATTCAGTCAGAAGCATTTTTACTGATTCACTTGGAGGAAGGAGGAACCATTTGTATGCAGCGAGAATTAATCCGCCGATTGTACGAGCGCGAACAGAATTACGGACGGACAATCGCTCGAAATTTTATGCAGACGTAAGTGTTGCCCGTGTACATCCCAGCGGACGTTTTCCCCTAACTTTCGGCTTCTCCTCGGAAAAGTTTCCCATTCGCTGAGTGTTTCCGCTTCCCTGAGACTTCCGAACGCTCATTGAAGCGGGAACTTCAATTATCCGGACGCAACCAAGCTTAGCGCATGGCCACGACAAAATTCTGCACGTGT